GTTAGTAGCAAAAACAGTCTTTCTATAAGAAACAGTGTATTTTAAAATGAAATCGAGATTTTTTTTAAAGGTTAAAAACTCATTCAGTTTTATGTCTTACCGGGCTTATACTGAGTTCAATATTGTATAACTGTGTTAATTCAACTGTGAACCTAGAAACTTGCAGCCACTTGTGAAAGAGATGTCCTTTTGCTCTGGAGTGAGTTACTGAATATGTTAAAGCTGTAGTGAAATGCTTCTTCTAATCATGTAGTTATTAAAAATTTAAAAAACAATGATTAAAAATAATAACTTTTCAAAACATAAAAATATGCTCCTTAATAATTAGTAGATGTGGAAAAACATTACCATTGAAATCTACCTGATGACTTTATATCCATGCTCAGATGCAAAGGAGCTCAGAAAGTAAGCAACTGTGACTAGTAATAACCAGATATATAGAGATTAGAAACTCATGTGCAAACATCTTGATGTCAATTGCATTAAAATGAATTTTTCTGTATGAAAATATGTATTTCAATAATGAGGTGGAGATCTTTCTTAAAGGTTCAAACCTCATTTAATTTTATGTCTTGTAGGGTTTATACTGAGTACAGTATTGTATAACTGTAATAATTCAACTGTAAACCTAAAAACTTACAGCCAATTTTGAAAGAAATACATTTTAGCTTGGAAAATTGTTATTGAATATGTCAATGATGTTGTAATGAAATGCTTCTTCTAAGTATGTGGTTATTAAATAAATAATTTTCTTAAAAGTGAAATGAACATTCATTGTCTCTAATCCCCTCATTAAAATTTAATATTTTCAAAATTTCACCTTGTAGTTAAAGAGAGATCTCTTGTCTAATAAGAAATGGTAGCTCTATATAGGAGAAAAAGACAGCTCAGTGAAAACTTTAACAGTAATTATAATTATCTGAGATTCTCTGAGCATTCCCTATGTGTCCATCCCTGTATTGTACATTTTACAAATATATACATATATAGTAAAAGGCACTTATACCTCTTAGTTTAATAAGATGAAGTCTATGCTGAAAAACAGCATTTACTCTTCAGTTTAATAAGATGAAGTCTATGCTGAAAAACAGCATTTACTCTTCAAGCCAGATTGTAGAGATAATATATAATGTTTTCCCTAGTTTTCTTGATTAAATTAGAAAGAAATGAAAAAAATTGGTCTTCTAAGTATGCAAGGTTTACCATTATTTTAGTGATAGAATTCACATTTAAACCACTATCCATGTTTTTACTTGAAACACATCTGTGAAATTAAGTGGGTCAAAAGTTTTAAATAACTCAGTTGCTACTGAGTCACTCACATATGTTAAAAATAACCACATGGCACGAGTTCCACAAGTTCACACGTGCAAGCCTCCAGTGGCATGTAAGCCTCTGCTTCCCTATGTTCATGAATCAGCCTTGGCTCTTACAATCTTTCTGCCCCCTCTTCCACAATGGCCCCTGAGCCATGGGTAGGTGAGGCCTTATATAGGAATCTTATCCAGGGACACACAGTCTTCAGTCTCCTATTCTTTAATACTTGGACAGCTGTGGCCTTCTGTGTGCATCTCACTCTGTTATATAAGGAAGCTTCACTGGTGAGAGTTGAGGGATGCACTAGTCTTCTCTCTACCCCTCATTCCTCTATGTTCCATTGGGTGGCAGGCCGGCCCTAGAATGGGAACTATTGGAGACTGATTGCTACTGGGTGAAGGAGAGTATGCTTTACTTGTTATCTCTAGATGGACCATCTAGACTTCACTGGATGAATTTGCACTGAAGGACATCTGGGTGCAAATACTTGGCTAGAGAGGACTTAATGTGTATGTTGGAATACACGAGGATGGCAGGGGGTTAGAGGGGCATGGATGGGGGGTGTTTAAATTTGATCAAGAACTGTTGTATGAAATGTACAAAAGCTCAATAAAAATTTTAAAAGAAAAAATAATCACATGGTAATTTATATAGTGTTTCCTAATATTTCTATTAATCATTCACTGGGCTCCGATGTGAAGAAGTCAAGGAGACATGCCTGCCCTAGAAGTGACATAAAAACTGACTGAGGTTGTTTCTCTTGATGACTAAGATGGACAGTAGATGGGGCTATGGAACTTAGATTCTGAAAGGTTTTGTATGAAGACCCTTCAGGTCTTCTCTTGATATTCCACACACTTTAACCTAGGTCATTTCATGCATAGTCAAGTGTCATCTGAGAACTAAAGATTGCTGGAGCTGTATCCAGAGCCAGACTTCTTCCAGAAACCATATTTTCTATTACTTAGTTGACATTTATACCTGGAAATGCTAGGTCACTTCCAAGTTACTCATAAATTTAATGAGCATTTATCCTCTCAGTCCCAAGCATGACCTTTCCCATCCTCCCTCTCAGAGGATAATCACCACCTTGTGATCCAAGGCAGAACCACACCCTTCCTTTAGATGTGCAATGATCACTGAGCTGTCCTTAGTTTATCCTGTAAGCAGATCCCATGTCCTCTCTGCTGTGCTGAGCCTCAGATCCCCATACTCTTTACTTGATTCATTGCAGTTAGTGTT